CGCCATCCGCGCAGCAGCAGAACCACCACATCAGCAGCCGCGCGAGCTGCCGCACATGGTGCCGTTATCGCAGCAGCGCCCACAGCCGGTCAACCATCAGCCGCCACCGGCGGCGGCGGCCTACAACCCCTTCCACGGCCCTCACCAGGCCCAGGCCCCGTCGCATCAGCCCCAGCACCAGCCGCTGCGACCCTCCGACGCTGCGCAGAGCCGGGCGGACGGCCAGGCCTCAGCGCTGCATCCGTTCTTCGACCAGCTGCTACCGGCGCCGGCGCCAGGCGGCAGCTCGGCCACGGCCGCCGGCTCGGGTGCGGCTGCTCGGCCGCAGCCCATTCGCATTGCCTGCCAATCACCGAGCAGACGCACGCCTTCGCCCTCGCCCTCGCCGGTCGACTCGTTAGCGCAGCTGATGGCGCCATCGCCGGCGCCCACGCTTCCCCCACCCGCGCACTCGCCGGCAGCTGCGCCGCCGCCACTGCAGCAGCCGATGGGCGCAACTCCGCCACCACAGCAGCAGCCACCGCTATCGCCGTTCTTCGCACCACCACAGATGAACCAGCACCCGCACCCGCACCCTCATCCGCACCCGCCCCACCACCAGAATCACCCACCAGCGCCAGCGCATGATCTTCTCCGCTTCCCCTCCAGCCCGCACCTCGTATGACTCTCCCCGTGTGTGCGTGTGTGTCGTGCTGTGTGCGTTGTTATTGTCTGGTCGAAACGGTTTCCGGGACGGAGCGACTTGCAGTTTCGTTTGCCGTACCTTGCGGGCGTACGGAGGTGCCATGAGTTCTCCACCAATTTCACAACACATAAACTTTCTCTGCGTTTTCCAGTTTTTTGCAGACATCTCTTGTGCCGCGTCCCTTGGAGCGTAAGCGTGCCGAGTGGAAGCATTCAGAAGCTGTTGGTGGTTGAACGTTTATTTGTGACGCTCCAGTATGTTCACACAATGGACATACATGTTGACAAGCTGACGGTAGGCGAGCCGCGTCAAGGCTTGAAGGAGAAGCTGCGGAAGCTGGAACTCAGGCGTCCTGTGTGCGCGGATGTAGTTTTTCACGAACGCAAACACGAGCTCGCAGGGGTTAAGCTCAGGCGAGTAGGTCGGGAGGAACAGATACGAAATGCCGTGGCGCGCGAAGAGAAGCCGAAGCCGAGGTCGAGTGGCCCGGCCGAAGTGGATACTGGCATTATCGACGATGAAAAAGTCGCCATTCGCAAGGCGGCCGGCAGCAACGGCAGCCACGACGAAGTTGAAAAAGT